GAAAAGAATCTTACTAAGTCTGGTGCCTTTACATACATAATTTGAAGTTTTGATTTGGGTATGAAGTATATGAAGAATATAAAATATTTGGAGGTGAGTATCACAACTGATTTGCAATTGATGAAGAAGATATTTTCACTGACAAAATGTTCGATTTTCACTTAACATGATTAATTTCAACAATGTAAAAAGTTATTCTCTAATTTTGTGATCAAACATGTACAATGAATATGATGACAAACAAGTTTTCACGAAGTGTTCAAAATTTTCTTTTAATTATGTTTTATGATAATTTGGGTTTGTCGATTTGATATTTTAGATCAGCTTTTCTTTAGTTTAGTAGCTATTGTTGTAAAAGTAATTAGATAGAAAAGAATTAAACTACACATATTGCACATATATGTAGCACTTGGTTTTTAGCAAAAAAGTTAACATAAACTTTTTGTCAACACATTTTAATTTTTATCAACAAACTATATAGGATTGATTGGTAATGGTTGTAGATGCTTTGAACAACAATTTTTTCTTTGTAAAACAATTATACTGTAGTTTTAAAAATTAAAGGTACAACAAAAAAAACTAAATATTTTAGCTATCAAAATTATTTTTTCTACAGATTTTGTTTAGTGTTTAAAAAGAAATTTACAATAAAACAACTAAAGGCAAAGCAGTGAAACTCACGCCCAACTGTCTAAAAAAAAAAAAACTAATGCTACATCACCAGCCGATCAACCCAAGTTCCTATAGTAATCTTTGGTGCTGTTGACGTTGATCTGTTTGAGATGTCGGTTTGAGATGTTTCTCGTTTTTCCTTATAATTATGACCCAAATATCTTATATATACCACAAACTAGTTTCGAAAGAACTTAAGACCCAATATTGTGAGAGACTGAGACATGTATGACAATTCTTTTCAAACCCACTCTGATGATAATGGGCAATTAGTCTATTATATCCGAATAAGTAAACATCAGGTGATGTCCATTTTTTCAATATTTGAATACACAAGAATCAGTTTTCTAAAAAGGAATATAATATTTACTAATATATTTTTATATTATCTCAAAAAATCATAGTATTATTTTGTATATGTTTTTTTATAAATTAGTAATGTAAAAAATAATTAATATTCTATTAAGTTAATTATAATTATAATTTTTTTCTTTATAAATAAAATATATTAAAATCCATATAGAATAATTACAGTATTATAAATTTTACATACGCTTTATATTTGATGCTTAAACATAATTTTAGAAAATAACACAAAATATTTTAAAACAAACGATAGATACATAATTTAGCTTTTAAAAATAACGTAATTTTACGAGAAAAATTTATTTATATTATTAATAGAATTACAAGTTTGATTTTAACATATTTCTTCAATATTTAAAACCAACTCTTATTATTTTACCAAATTGTGTCATATTTAAGTAATCTAAAATAAGACTGAATAAATTTCTTAATTCATTGTATATTTAATGTATTGTGTATTAAAAATATATTGTATATGTCATATGTATGTCTGCTATAATGTGCTGCTAGTTTTAGAATACAATACTTTTATCAAATATCCAGATTTGTCTTGCAATTTTTTATTAAAACACAAATCGAAAGTAATTTGAAAGAATAATTTTAATATATAGAAAATGGATATTCTGATCGTCTCTATGTTCATCCTCATCAGAACAAGAATTATACAAATAAATGATAATCATAAGAAATTAAAAATCCGAACGAAAAGAAGTAACTAATAAAACAGCCGAACTGAAATTTCTCATTACTGTCTCTTTCACTACATCAGAACTCGTCAGAGCAACTTTCCTGAATCACTTTTATACGAAGATAAAATTAGTTGTTCTCAAGAGCAGAATCACCTTTTTCAAACAACTCGTTAATGAACCTTATTGATGCATGGGAACGTTTCAATGACTATCGCAGAGAATATCCTCACCATTAATTTGATGATGATTAATGCTACATCACCAGCCGATGAACCCAAGTTTCTATAATAATTTTTGGTGCTGTTGACGTTGATTTGTTTGAGATGTCGGTTTGAGATGTTTCTCGTTTTTCCTTATAATTATGACCCAAATATCTTATATATACCACAAACTAGTTTCAGAACTTAAGACCCAATATAGTGAGAGACTGAGACATGTATGACTATTCTTTTCAAACCCACTAGATGATAATGGGCAATTAGTCTATTATATCCGAACTAGTGTGACTCCCGTGCTAACGCACGGACCAAATCTATTATTATACATTAATACTTTTATCATAATTTGAAATTAAAATAAATTAGTGTTTTTACACATTTTCTAAACATGGTTAATATGGAAGCAAATCGTCTAGAAACTGTTTTACAGAATTACTGATGTTTTTAAAATAGACATGCTGATATATGTTTGTAAGTATTTTATGTCAAGTCTATGTTTTATGTTTTGCATTTTATATAGTATTATTTTCTCACGTTTATTTTTGGATCATTCTTCTACATTTCCTCTTTTACAATGATGTTCTATTTGCTTCTGCATTTATTTTATGAGTAAAACTACAAATTTGACAACACTATATAAGAATAACAAATCAGAAGTCTTTGTTGAATCAAAAGTAAATAAAATAATATCACCACCTTTTTATAAGATTTTATGTACACAGAAATAATGGAAGACTTTTTTAGAAAAAAAAAATATTAATGGAAGACTAACCATTTGTTGCTTCCTAATTATCACTGGCATTTTTTTCTTTGTTCTTATTATTTCTCAAGTTTTTAGGGCCCTGTAAGTTTGATTTAAATTGAGCCTCTTACCTCGTCTGAATTATATCACCAACAAATTGAGAATTAGTCAAGTCCAATATCTAAAATAACAAAAAGAAAGAAATTTAGTATCAGTGACATTTTTTATTTGAAATGCTAAAATGGATGAAAAAGCTAGGAACTTACTTTCCAAAGTACAACCACAGAAACAGATTTGTAAAATACCCATTTTGTATATAATAGAGTTGAAGATGCATATTGATACCTTTGTTGCTGACAAAGCTTTCATGACCCATTCTAAATTGAAGAATTAAGCTTTGAAACATGAATACAGAGGGCAGAGCCATTTACAAATTAAAATATGTGAAAACATAAAAGATTATTAATTCGGAATCATTAAAAACAAACTAAACTAAATGAAAAGTAATCATAAATCTATATGGCTTTTTTAACTTTCATCGAAGATCTAAAGAATATGAAAGCATGGAAAATCAGAAAGAGAGATGAAGGAGTGAGAAAAGAAGATTATATATAGGGCTGGGCATTTTATTCGTTATATTTGATTCGATTCGTTATTCGTTTCGATTCAATCCGAAAATTCCGGATATCCGTAAATTTTCGAATCAAAGCAAATACTAAATTTCAATATCCGTTAAAATCGAAGCAAATCACAAATATTAAAATTTTGGGAAGCGAATATCCGATCCGATCCGGAAATATATAAATATATGTATATCTTGATTATATTTAAAATTTTAAATGTATAAAATTATATAATTATTATTCCAATACATGATTTTGACAATTCTATTCACATTATTACTTATATAAAAATATTACATAAAAAGAGGGAAAAAATTATGAAAATTATATTTTTTTTCTTAAATTTTGTGTTATTATAATTGTAATTTAAACTTTAAAAAATTACAAAATATGTAAATTCACTAGTTCTTTTAATTTTTATTTTATATATCATGCAAAAAAAATTTTTTGCAAAGAAAATTTGTATCAAAATCTTAAGATTATTTATATTAGTCAAAATGGATAAGATATCCGTAAATATTCGTAAATATCCGCAAATATCTATTTATTTTCCGGATATCCGTATTTTTCGAAGCAAAGCAAATACCAGAATTAGATATCCGTAACATTCGAAGCAAATCACAAATACCTTAAAAAACCCGGATATCCGATCCGTGCCCACCCCTAATTATATAGATAGTAAAACAGTTTTTAGTCGTGATTGCTAGTTTCGAACGTGGGAGTGATAACTCAGAAAATTTAGGGATTTTTAGTTATTGGAATTTCAGAAATTAAGATCAATTTGTCGACATTTTTTAGTTTTCTTTTTACAATTTTTTTCTATATGTCAAATTCTGATTCGCAGGCGACTTGCGCTTTATTATATAAAGGATAAGTAAACATCAGGTGATGTCCATTTTTTTCAATACACAAGAATCAGTTTTCTAAAAAAGATTATTTAGCAATATGTTTCTATATTTTGTAAAAAAAAAAATCATAGTATTATTTTGTATATGTTTTTTTATAAATTAGTAATGTAAAAACTAACTAATATTTTATTAAGTTAATTATAATTATAATATTTTTCTTTTTATTAAATAAAAATATATTAAAATCCATATATAGAATAATTACGATATTATAAATTTTACATTCGCCTTTATATTTCGATGTTTAAACATAATTTTACAAAATAACACAAAATATTTTAAAATAAAAAATAGATATATAATTTAGTTTTTTAAAATAATGTAGTATACGAGAAAATTTTATTTATAATATTAATAGAATTACAAGTTTGATTTTAACATATTTCTTCAATATTTAAAATCAATTCTTATTATTTTACCAAATTGTGTCATATTTAAACTAATCTAAAATAAGACTATAAATTTCTTAATTCATTGTATATTTAATGTATTAGTATTAGTTTATTAAAAAAAAAAAATTTATATGTGTGTGTCTGCCATAGTGTGCTGCCAGTTTTAGAATACTTTTATCAAATATCCAGTTTTGTCTTGCAATTTTTTATTAAAAACACAAAGCGAAAGTAATTTGAAAGAATAATTTTAATATACAGAAAATGGATATTCTGATGTCTCTATGTTCATCCTCACCACAACAAGAATTATACAAATAAATGATAATCATAAGAAATTAAAAATCCGAACGAAAAGAAGTAATTAATAAAACAGCCGAACTCAAAAGCTCTCTAAGCCAAAGCAACAGCGTATAATGCTCCGGCAACAAATGTTCCCATAAGGAAAGCTTGATTAGCCCATGCGGCGCCTACAGGCGCTTCAGCACCGGTGTCTGGTCCTGGAGCCGGAGCCAAAGTCGGGGTTAATCCGGCGGAAGGACCAGAGGCTGGAGCATCGGTTTGAGGAGGAGAAGCAACCGGAGATGTCGTTGGAGCAGGAGTTGGCTCGTTAACTGGAACCGGCGGTGAAGCAACCGGAGAAGGTGTTTCTGCTGTCATGGGAGGAAGCGATGTCGGTGGAGAAGCGGTGGTGGTTGGTGCCGGGGCTGGAGCTTGAGAGAAACATGAGGTGGCCAAGAAACCGAGAAAGATCACAACCTGCAATGCCTTAGGACTCATCTTTAGATTAATTCTGTTTGAAACTTGAAACTCTGTTTAATGTTTTTAAGATTCTTGTTCTTTGTTTGATGGTGTGTGAAATAAATGAGAGAAGAGAGGTTCTATATGAGTTGTTCAAAAAAAAAAAAAAAAGAGAGGTTCTATATGTTGGATCAATTAATCAAGCCATTTGGGTTTCATATCTAATTGAAAATTTGTGAAAAGAAATGGCCCATTCAAGAGGCCTGTTTGTGTAATGAAATGAGTCATTAGTTTCTCCCACATCGGGGAAATGAAGTGGAGTTGAGTTGTATATATATGCACTCTCACTCTCACTTAATTAAAGAACTCAGAGGAAGAAAGAGCTCTCCACGCGCGCGCCGTCGCCGCCGTCCGGCCGGCTCGGCGTGGGTTTTGGCTTTGGCTTTGGCTTTATTGGAGGGCCTTTGGCCCGATAAGAAATTATCTTTTTGGACCAAATTAAGCTCAACGCTTTGCCATTTAAACTTCAAAAAACAGCATGCAATTTTATTTAAAACGACAAGTAGTTTGTCTAACAAATACAAAAACGTCACGCTGTTTATTCCTCGCCAGATATTTTAATTAAAACCGAGAGAGCGAGTCTTGGGGGATAAGTTTTTCGTAACTTAAAATTTCCGAGATCCTTGCCAAATCCCCACTAACGGGCACACGTTACGGGAAGTTGCTCCTCGTCTTCTCTTTAAATATCGTCTCTCCTCTTTCTTCATTCTTAACTTTTTCACGCAACAAAAAAACCAGCAAATCTCCCAGAGTAAGTTTTTGAGAGTGTTCGTAGAATTTTAGTTCGTTAGGTCGTTTCACGAGTGAAGCGTGATTCGTCTGCCTTGGTTGTATCCTGGGACTCGATATTCGTACAGTTTCGTCTCACTACGGAGCGAATATTAAGAGTTAAGGAAAGAGATTTATCTCGCCTC